CACTTCGAAAATACATTTTCTCACCAAACCCTAGTCCCATGTAATCTTTGTTATAGATTTGAAGGCAATTAACTTTCTTAAGATTACGTGGGTTAGTTATGCCCAGTCCTGTTTTAGCATTGTAGAATCGGTCATCCTTTTGTTTGTTGTTAAGCAGAAAAATAGTTTATTCAGATTGACCTCTTCTAGCAGCTAGATCTTCTAGTTCTTTTACTTTATTTAAAAGCGTTCTTCTTTTGTTATGCAAAAAATCGCATTCAGCCTTTGCTATGCTTTTTTCCCGTTCACTGTCCTCAAATTTCTTAGTTAATTCAGCTATCTTTAGTTCAAAGCTTTCAAAATCTGAGGACACCTTTTTGACTTGATCTTTTGCAATTTCAAGTTGAATACTTAAGGAAGACTTTTGGTCTAGATTCTGTTTCAGAACTCTATGATTATTGTCTAGTCTCTCCTTTAGTTCTTTGATTAGATTGTCCTTTTCAAGTAAGGACTGCATATGATTATTTAAAGAAGTATGGGAGGTACTAACAGAGCTTGTTGAGCAGTTGCCTTCGGGGATCGCAGCATCACCCTTTATTTCATCTCCCTCCACTCGTGCCATAAGAGCATAGTTGTCTTCCTCTTCCTGCTCCTCAGAAGAATCTTCTGCCCAGTTCTCATTTTCAGCAATCATGGCAGAGGTTTCTTCTTCTTTCTGCACCATCAGCATTTTCTGCTTATTCCACAACATCTTCTGCTTGTAGAAGTTAGCATCTTTCTTCTTTGGTAGGCGGCAGTCTTTGATCACATGTCCAGGCTTGCCGCAATTATAGCATTTAGGAGCTTCTTCTGCCGATGATGCCTTCCTAGAAGATCCTTGATCATGGTTCTTCTGCTTGTAGTTTGAGGAGGAAGTTCTCAGTCTGTTGGAGGAAGTGTTCTTCTTTGCAAATCTTTTGGCCAACATTTCCATCTTCTTCTGTAAGTCTGCTAGCTCAGCCTCTAGATCAGATTTGTCATCGTCACTCTCATCATCATCTGATTCAACCACCACTTTTTTCTTTTTCTTCTTTAGTGAAGTGGTTGTCCTTCTAGGTTGAGCATCCATTACAAGAGCTAAGGGGTTTGTGGTGTGATGATCCTCAGCGCATGCAACCTCGTTGACGAATTGCTTCAGATGTTCATAGAGTGTGCAGAGGTCAATTTCGTCCAGATCTATCCGTGATCTGACATCCTTCACTGTCTTTTCCCAAGCAGGATGCAGGCTGGATAAGAATCTAATATTTAGTTCCAGATTGGACCTGAATACTTTGATCTTTCTGAGTTCATTTACCAGTTGAACAAGTCTATTGTAAGTCTCATTCAATGGTTCTCCTGGTCCTGCTTTGAAGGAGTCATAAGCGATGAGAATTGTAGTCTTCTTTGTTTTGAGGCTGATGCTTGTGCCTTGTAGCAGCTTCTCTATTTCATCCCACATCTTCTTAGCTGTCTGCATGCTATCTATGAGAACATAAACCTCGTTCGGTATTGCTTGAAGGAGATACGTTTTGGCCATAAGATCACCACGAAGTCTGAGCTTGTCGGCTTCTGGGTATTCAGATGGCACTTTTCTCCTTATTTCTGGAAAAATAGGAGGATTGTTCTCTGGATCTCCACCAACTTAAATTAAAAGTTCAGCTGGTCCTTCAAGTAAAGATTCGAGCATTGCAGAAGAGTTCTCTTTGTGCTCGAGGAAGTTTAAAAATCTGTTCCTCCACATTTGATATTCTCCCTTCCTGAGGCTAGGAGGGGTACTGCTGTTCCCTTGTGCATTGTATTCTGAACCCATTGCTGTAATAAACTGACCGTTCAAGAAAATTGATCAAAAGATTTTCAGAGGCAGAATCTCGAAAAATCAGATGTCGAGATCTGAATATCGAAATCTCAGATTTCGATAAAGGAGGCCCGGTATCGAGATTTGGGCTCGAGATTAAGGATCTCGAGATTTGGGATCTCGAGATTTCAAATTTCGAGATGCTGATCTCGAGATTTGAAATGTCGAGAAGTTAATCTCTCGAAATCTTAATCTGATGAGTCAAATGTCGAGACCAGATGTCGAAACCTTTTCTCGAAATCAAGATTTCGAAATCCTAGATGTCGAAATCCTCAGTGTCGAAATCTTTCAACCTGTAAAAATCAGATAATCAAAATCTGAAGATAGTTTCCTGTAGAGTTGAATGTCGAGATCTTCTGGTAAAGTTATCAGCTCGAAAAACGTAGCAGAACCTGTGAAGAAATAGGATGTCGAGATGCCTAGCTCGAGATATCTCGAAATCAAAAATTGCGTAAAACACAAACTGAAGTATACCCTTTGATCGCTTTGAAAAGGCGATTCCAAAGGTGTAACTTTTACAACTTTTAAACAAGAAACAAAATTACAGAGCAAAAAATCGACAGAATGAACTACGTTAACAAAAACAGAGTATTCTGCAGGAGTTCTTCTGATCGTTCTCGATCGGCTCTGATACCAATTGTTAGTCCCTGTTTCTTTAACAGCAATGAATAATCGATCTAACAAAGGAAGATTAAACGTAAAGATGAACACAGAATGAATCACCGTAAAACCTTCTTTGATAAACCGTGGAACGTACAGCAGAATGATATAAGCGTAAGGCTATGAATAATAAGTACGACGTTCAGCCTTTTCCTAAACCTCGGCTCCCTTTTTATAGGCGAGGTTTAGGTTAGGCGAAACAGGCTTTTGGCCTGTTTAAATGGGCCTAACACTTGGCCTGATTTCTATCTAATTTATGCACTATTTAAATACAAGGATTAAATATAAAGCTAATCTATGACCAACATGATTCACAATAAAATATCTCCAACAGACACCACTTTAGTCTGCAAACTACACAAGTCATTGTATGGCCTAAAGAAGGCTCCTAGGGCCTGGTTTCACAAACTGACTTCAGTCCTTTATACAGCAGGGTTTCAGCAAAGTAAATGTGATCCATCCCTCCTATTCTTCAAGTCTCAAGGAGTTCAGATCTACATATTGATATATGTAGATGATATTCTGGTCATAGGCAATGATTCTAAAGCAATTCAAAACCTTATTTACAAAGTACACTCATCGTTTTCTCTCAAGCACTTGGGTGACATTGACTTCTTCCTAGGAATAGAAGTCAAAAAGCTGACTGATGGAAGTCTTCATCTCTCTCAAACCAAATACATGAGAGATTTATTACATCAAGCTGGCATGATTGATTCCAAAGGAGTGAAAACTCCCATGGTTAGTAGCTGCAAGCTAACTAATACAGGAAGTGCTACTCTTCCTGATCCTTCCACTTATAGATCCATTGTTGGCATGCTGCAATATGCAACTCTTACAAGACCAGAACTCAGTTATGCTGTAAATAAGGTCTTTCAGTTCATGGCAGTACCTCTACAAGATCACTGGAAGGCAGTAAAACACATTCTCAGATATCTATCTGGTACTATAACACATGGCATCATCATTAAACGTCTACCTCTGAAAACAATGCCTTTACCTATCTTTGCCTTTTGTGATGCTGATTGGGCATCTGACCTAGTTGACAGAAGGTCCACTTCTGGATCATGCATCTTTCTTGGGTCAAACATCATTTCTTGGTGGTCCAAGAAACAACTGAGAGTGGCCAGATCCTCTGCAGAAGCTGAATACAGAAGTTTAGCAGACACTGCAACTGAACTTCTGTGGGTTCAGTTCTTACTCAAAGAGCTTCAAGTATCATTTTCTACTCCAAAGATCTACTGTGACAACCTCAGCACTGTGCAGCTTGCCCACAACCCTGTTTTACACTCCAGGATAAAACACATGGAGATTGATCTCTTTTTTGTGAGGGAGAAAGTTCAGTCCAAGCAAATTGAAGTGTTCCACATTCCTGCTTCCCAACAAATTGTTGATATTCTGACAAAGACTTTGTCTGCATCTTCTTTTCTTGAGTTAAAAAACCAAACTTAGTGTGATTTACCGACCTTCCAAATCAATCACCTTAAGTTTGAGGGGGGAATGTTAGGAATATAAAATAATGTTACATACGTATATTGTAAATAGCTTTAAACCTTCTAGATATACCTTGGGCTGTTAGTGTTGTTATACAGGCTGTTAGAGTTAGTTACTTGCATTCTACTATAAATACTTGTATTGACTCTTATAATCAATAACATTTGAATCTCCTTTATTCTATCTGAGTTCATTTTCTAATATCCTTGTGCATTAGATTCTGAAGCCATTGCTGAAGAAAACTGACCGTTCAAGATTTTGATCAGAAAAATTTCAAAGGCAGAAACTCGAGATCCGGAGTGTTGAAGAGCTAAACTCGAGGTATGAAAAAACTCGAGGTGAGAACTCGAGTTTATAAACTCGAGATTAAGAGTTTAGAGTTTTCACAAACTGAGATGTAAAACTCGCAATGTCAAAACTCGAGGTTGAACTTGCGAGTTTTGAAACGCGAGTTTACAGTGCGAGTTTGTGTCTCGAGTACTTAACTCGAGAGTTAAAATTGCGAGTTCTAAACTCGAGTTTGAAGTTGCGAGTTTAGACTTCAACACCCTGAGTTGCGAGTTCCTCTCAAAAGAAAATTTCAGTTTTTTCTATGAAAACAGATTGTTTTGTAGCCCTTGATGTCGAGTTACTGCTGCCCAAGTTTCAGGTCAGAAAGCTGAACGGAGCTTTGAAAAAGATGGGTTGCGAGTTCCTGCCTACGAGTTTACAAAGAGAAAAAAAATTACGGAAATGCAGAAAGAAGATATACTGCTTGATCTTCTCTGAGATGTGATTCTAACAGTATAACTTTTACAACTTTTAACACAAAAACTAGATTACAGATGATAAACTCGCTAGCTACAGATAAACGAAATAAAAGCAGAGTAATTTGCAGGTCGTTCTTCTGATAAGCTCTCGATCGGCTCTGATACCATTTGTTAGTCCCTGTTTTCTATAACAGCAATATAATATGATATATCAAGCAGTAAAATAACAGAAAGATGAACACAAATGATCGATGAAATCCCTCTTTGATATACCGTGAACTCGTACAGAGAATGATATGCGCTAAGGCTATTTTGATCGAGTACGAAAGTTAACGCAAACCTAAACCTAAAGCGCCTTTTTATATGCGCAGGTTAAGGTTTGCGTAAAGGCTTTCAGCCTGATATGGGCCTGACACATTGGCCCCATACCTTTTATACCCTAATAAATACAAACATTAATTACAAAGGATACAATAAAAGCTAAGCTATTAAAAGACATCTGACAAGCTTGATTCACAATAAAATGATCTCCAACAGAGGGCAGCAGTGTTCAAGAAGGAATGTCCCTCGGGTATCCCCACCGGCTTCCCAGAGTCCGCTACTTTTTGCTTCTTCTTCTTCTTCTTCTTCTTCTTCTTCTTCTTCTTCTTCTGGGGGGCCTTCATCTTCTTCTTGCCCTTCATCAACGGTGCAGTCCGATGGGGATCAGGGCTGAGGGGTCTTGAAGTTCCTGCCCCACTAGGGATAGCCGAAGGGATAGTAATGGTAACTCGACGACGCTCTTCCTCCTCCTCAGCAGTCTGCATAGCGAGAGCAAGCTCCTCGTCCTCGTTCACTTGTTTGAAGTCCTCAGCCTCGGCTACGGCAGAATCGTCGTGAGACAAGGCCTCTTCACTTGCTGACCTCCCATCCGACCAGGTCTCGGATTGAACAGAGGGCTCCCTCGAGATATCTTGAGAATCACTTTGCGACAACATTTTTGAAAGACTAGAAGCAGAAGGGTTCAAAAGTAGAGGGCTTCCTATAGAGCTCTAACACTAAATCTAAGGCCGGAATAGCAAAGTATGCTAAAAAACTCAAGAACGGAAGAAGAACTTACTTCGGATGTTTGGTTTTGATCAAACTATGCTTTTGCTCTCTAGAAATATTTGGGCAGAGCTTCGCTTCGATGAAATCGCACAAGAGAAATGAGTTCGGCCAGGGGTATTTATAGCCTCCCCATCTTAGGCTTGGGCTGAGAACTAGGCCTCCGATTAAAAACACATCATTACAAACCGCCACCTCAACCAATGGGTGGCACCCGCCCGCCTTCAGCCAACGGGAGCACGCCACATGGACCCCACCTCCAACGGTCATATTCCAACGGCCATATTCTGAAATATCAAGGTGGCCTCAGCTGGTACCCTTCGCAGCACATGCCTTCGGGTTCCACCTGGCTTCGAACAAAAGCAATATGGCCCTTCGGTTTATCACACATTGGCAACCCCTCATCCGAATTTGCCCTCGGATCTAAACATCACTCTTAACTCCTTCAGCCCGAAACTTGCCTTCGGCCTAAAGGAGTGGGGGACTGGGAGAACCCCTCGGGGAATTATGAACAAAAATGTCATTGACAAATAACACATGTAGCCTCCGGGCAAAATGATAAACACAACCCCTCAGGTATGAATGGTCGATACACCCTTCGGGAGACACAAATTGTCAAGATATTACAGAAGTACCAAGGGTAATAAAGCAGCCTCCGCCAAAACACATGCGAGCAACACACTTGCACTCCCTTCAGGGAGCCCTCAGCCCTTGACATATGGGGGGACTGAGGGAATGCCCTCGGCAAAAACAGGTAACGAAGAATCTATTAAGGTGTCCAACAAGACAAGGAAGCCTTCGGGTGAATCACCACAGTTACTCCTTTTTCCTCAAGTACCTTTCGGAAAAAGGAGTGGGGAACTCCTGATGGAGTATATGGCCCAGGAACCCCCGACCCACAGACTCCTACTACTCTAACACAGGCCCAACAGGCCCAGGAAGCACAAGAGGCCCAAAGCACAGCGGCCCAAGTGTCAAGAAGCCCACGGTGAACATACGGGTGCCTTCGGCCCCATGGCCGAAGGCTCCAAAACTCACGGGGCAGCCGGATTTGAGCATACAAAGCTACTGGGAGAAAATGGAAGAAATCAGGGCCCTTCGGCTCATAGGGTTATGTTATTTCCACATGTGTGAGTTATGTTATAGACAATTTCTGTAGTTACATTTGATGGTATACGAAGTTACATCTTCTTGTGCGCAAGTTACATGCTTTTACGCGCGAGTTATATCTTCATATGCGTGAGTTACATTTAGACTTAGCTCAACAAGTTACACTTTGCACACATAAGTTAGATTTCCATAAACTTGATTTACAGTTTTCATAACACCAGTTACATCACAAAATCAATCTTGCTATTGAAACAAATAAAAAAATTGCAAAAAAAAATGTTTTTTTGCAAAACAATGATTTTCATGAAAAAATAATTTAAAAAAACATTCTTATATGGCCTTAATAATAAAAACAAAACATATTCACTATTTACGTAAAGTAATTGAGCATTTAGACTCCTTGTTTTCATGGTTTACATCGAAATCAATGTTTTATTTCTTATACTTCGTATTAGACAAGTAACATTTTGAATTGTCTACACTTACATTTCTTACCAATGTGAGTTACATTTCTGTACACGCGAGTTACATGACGCTGCTACTGGGCACTGGTGCAAGAAAAAACAAACCAAAAAATTATTTCACGCATGAATAGTACACACACGATTTGTTTGTGGGAACATCATGTTCATCGTGAGCTTCTCCCACGATATAACAACTGGTCATGGGAAGGTCATGACCTCATAATGGGGCTGTTTTTTTTATGGAATTGACGAAATTGATTCATGACATTGATGTGAGATGCAACACGACAAAAGTTGTTGGCATTGCAACACGTCTCTCTTTCCTTCCGTTCCCAACTTCCCATATACTAAACTTTAAAAATAAATAAAAAATAGATAAAAGACATTAAAAAATATAAAAAATTTATGGAGGCCTTTCCCGCAGCCTTGGCCACAGCCCAACAATGCCACCTCTGATCGGAGAAAAAAATGCAATTTTATGTAAAAATTGTCATTTTTCGAAAATGCCATAAAGATGAAATTTTTATTCTTTGAAAATGCCAAATTTTCTCAAAACCTACCATCAAGATGGCATTTCCGAAAAATGTTGGCATTTCTTCCGGCGGTCGGAGCTGGTGGTGCTGGGAGGTTGTTGAGGCGGAAGCAGATGTCTGCATATTTTTATATATTTTTTACATTTTCACTTTTTATTTTATTTTAACTTTTTAGTTTTTTATTTAATATTTTTTTTTAATATTTTTTGAATTTTACTAATTTTATTTAATACGATGGACATTTTATTTAATATATATTTTCTTGTTTTTTTTTCATTTTTGTTATACATAAATTAATGTTATTTCTTTTACGTTTTAATTATTAATGAAAGTGGTTGGGGCTTGAGGCTTGGGTAGGTGTATATTTGTCATACCACTAAAATTACACCTATTCAAAATATGATACTCCTATTTTTTGCATTTTGCCTATGTTTTACTCCTATTTGGGGAATTCACTCGCTAGAGAAATTAAAGTTTGAGGTTAAAACTCCCTAAATTGGAGTATAATTTGTGTTTGAACAAAAACATTAGTATAGGGGTTAGAAGCTAGAGAAAATTGCTGTTGGTAAGAATAGATCATACAAACTTTACAAGATCAGGACTTATTTAGATTTTTCCCATCCGTAAGCTTTATTTAGTTCTGTTTTAGAAAACTTGATTGATCTTTTATGCCCCGACCTTTTCTCCTTGTTTTGTTCTTCGTCTGTGTAATCACCCGAGGTCAGGTTCTTCTTCTTTATCACTTGTACTCACTTCTCTGGTTCCGATCATGTTTGTACGGTCCACGATTTGTTTTGAAGCGTCGTTTATCGTTCATCGAGGTTCATATGTTGTGCAATTTTTTGTACATTTTGGTAAGTTTCATTACTCACACTTTCTAGAAATTTGTTACTATTTGATGTTTTAATTTATAAACGAACTTCGTTTATCTATTCTGTATTAGCTTTGTCATCTTCAAGTTTGAATTCTCATACTGATCTTGAAATTGCAGTTCAAAGTGTTTCTCTTCTCTGTTTTTAGTTTCCAATGTCACTTTCTGTTTTTTCTACTTTATGTAGTTCTTCGATCATTTTATGGTGAACCAGATACAACCGATTTTAGTCCAAGAACGTGCTGAAATGGAGGGTCTAACTGATGCAAATAAAGTGCTCGACAAAAGTCCTAAACCAGAAACCAGTGCAGCCTAAAAAAACCCAGGCCGGTCTGTATTAGAACAACAAAGATACTACTCAGGCTACGCAGCTGGAGTATTTCCCAATCTCCGAAGATGACATTTTACTCTTGCAAGAAAAAGATATTACAATGTTGGTTCAAACCCGGGAATACTGCCTATGGGATGTTTTACTGGACATTTCCCAGTTCTTAACGATGCTGACACTTTGTTATCATCGTGGGGAGTTCCTTGTAGTTGCAGGATATGTATCTTGGTCGATGGTTCTTAGTTTGATAATATTCTACGGATTCAATTTTTTATTTCCTAGAATAACATTTATAGGACTTATATTGTTTTCTCTCACTATTCTTAATTGCCAAGGATAGTTGGCATTGGAGTTTATGTTAATTGGCATGATATTTCGGGATTTGATTTGATGTATTTTTGTTATTCATACTCAACTTTTTTGTTATTAGATGTGTAGTCAATTAGCTGACATTTTCTAAATTATCGTCTTTTTACAAACTGATTAATGTCTATAAGTATACCTTAATATATGAGAGCCCTCTATGTTTTGAATCATACATCTATCCTTATATTCAAAAGAAATGTATGGACCTAAAATAAATAAATGTCTAGACCTTTATGATCATATTCATGTGATTTGTATTGTACCTATGAATAAAAAATATATATAATAAGATATCACTTTAACAGTTGAATCTATTATGTTTCATAATTTTGTACTAAAGTTTGTACTTAGTAATTTCAAGATTTCAAAAACTAGCTGACATCTTTGATCAAGATTTCATTCAATTTCTAAATATCAACTATAGCTCTTTATGTTTATTGTCTTTTTACTCTCTAGTTATTGACTTTTATTGTATAATTAACGTTTAACTCAGATATAATATTTCTCAGCAAAATACCTCTTTTGGCTAAGACATTCAAGTATGAAGAACTCCCTTTTGTATACAACAGAAACTAATTGATATAAGCAACAATTGATTTATAATTTAGAAAAGACAATAGTTTATTATTTTTCCACGTCTTATTCGTTGCATTTGAAAATTTTAAGATAACTTTAGATGAAATAACTGAAATCTTGATTTCTTAGTTATTTACTTTTAATACTTCTTTCTTAAATAATTTGACTATAAAAGACGCACGTGATTGCATTTTGGATTTTGATTTGTAACACAAATAATACGTGACATTAAGTAGAATTTAATGTCTTCATTTTGACATAAAATAGACATTAATATGGATCTTAAAATAAAATGTTTAATTGCATCATGACAACTTAACCACTTAAACACTTCCAAACATGAACGAGATGTGCAAACACTACACATGAAGTGTCAAATTACATATTAACCACCACAAATGTGCTTGTTTATGATACATATGAGAAGAACCACTTAGTAAAGCTATTTTTTGTTGATGCATACAAAAGTGGTTTCATTGTCATCTTTTCTCGATACATCTGCATGACATCCTTTAAAACCTCAGTAGCTACCCTATCAAAAGCATTAGAAACTCATCAAATTTATCTCTCTCTCTCTCTCTCTCTCACACACACACACATATATATATATATATACATATATATATAGAGGAGTATTCACATATCATTCTCTGTAGAGCTAGTAAAATAGAAATTCTCTCTCAAGCTTATTCGTTCGAAATACTGTGTAATTGTTCTTCATGGATTCATCATTATATATACACGGTATACGTTATTGGTGAGATTTCTCTTTTGCTGTTTAAATTCTTTCAATTATTATTAGATTATTCGACTGTTGAAATATGGGCATAATTCACACATTAATCATGACATGTATTAAGTTATAAGCAACCACCATATGCACCTTTTATCTCCAAACATATCAGATATGTTTTTTATAAACATTTTCATATAACAATTCATACATATTTCAATAGTTCATTTCATACAAGCCTAATCACTTGGCTAATCACATGTTTAATCTCTTTTAAACATCATTATAAACACATATAACATTTACTTAGGTAATCTCATGCTTAACCCAAAAGTTACAAGACATTAAGCCATCCACTCACCTCAAATGAGCTTTGAGAAGTTCTACCCTTCTTAGTTAAACTCCGTTGAAACTCCGGTGAAACTCCGGCGAACCCTAGCAACACTTTAGTCAAGCTCCTAACATGGTTTTATCATCACAAAACCCGTATCAATACAAATAACCTCTAAAAGGTCATTTTCCGACGAACCAGTCATTTTGGCTTCTAAGTCCGTTCTCTGACTTAGAACTACCTTTCAACCCCTTATTTTACACCTCTAAACATGTAGAAAGATCCTAGGTGTCTTCCATATGATATATAAGTCATATGATAAATAAAAAGTAGAGGAAAAGTTGTTATAAGGTCATTACCTTAATCTTTCACACTTTTCCTAACTTTTTCCTTCTTTAATCCTTCTCCTTGGACTTCTATTGTTTGAGCTTGAAATGATAAGCAATGGAGGATGATATTTTGAGATTCTCTCTATTTTCTTGGATAGTTGGTCGAGCTAGGAGGTTGGGGGTGAGAGGGGGTGACACATTTTGTCTCAATTGCCAAATGAATGAGGGTGGAGATCCTCCATGGTACCTTTGATGCCAAAGCCCCCTTCTCCACATGTTTCTTTGTCAACTCCAGCCCCCCCTTGATTAATTGAGAACAAAAAACGTGGGGTGGTCCCCACTCATGTGGGAGGTCATCCCAATTTTTCCCGAAATGTACATTCAGCCCCGAAAGTTGTATTTCTCAGTCTGTTTTAATTATATTTTATTTTATCAGGTCAAATAAAATATAACACATGTTCCTACTCATTGTAGACCTTTAGAATGGATGTAAGTTCCCCAAATTAATTTCTGACTGTTATTCGATAAATTACCAATACCGATAACTGGGCTTCGTTTGACCGACAGGTCTACCTGTTGAAGATAATTTAATTGTGAATCAAGTTTGTCATCTATCTTGTAATAGATTAGCTTTATTATTATTCCTTGTATTTAATATGTGCATTTATTTGATTGAACATGGGCCAAGTGTTAGGCCCATACAAAAGGCTAAAAGCCTTATTCGCATACCAGAATCTCGCCTATAAAAGGGAGCCAAAGATTCAGGTCTAGGTTAACTTTCGTACTCGCTCATAATAGCCTTAGCGCAAATACTTCTGTGTACGAGTTCACGGTATATCAAGGAGGGTTTACATCGATTCATCTGTGTTCATCTTTACTGTCAATCTTCTTCTTGTTATGCTGTTATTCATATTGCTGTAATAGAAACAGGGACTATCAATTGGTATCAGAGCCGATCGAGAGCCGATCGAGAGCCGATCAGAAGAACGCCCGAAGAAAACCTCTGTTTTACACGTTGTTTTTTTCTGTCGAGTTCTTTGTCTGTAATCTTGTTTCTTGTTAAAAAGTTGTAAAAGTTACACCCTTAGAATCGTCGTTTCGAAGCGATCAAGGGGTATACTTCAGATTTCGTTTTCTGCAATTTCTGTACTTGAGATATTTCGAGTCCCATATGTCGACATCTAGGTTTTGAACAGGTTCTGCCAAGTATTTCGAGCTGAAAACTTCACCTGAGGATCTCGACATCATACTCTACAAGAAACTACCTTCAGATTTTGCTTATCTGATTTTTACAGTTTGCAGGATTTCGACATTGAGGATCTCGACATCCAAATCTCGAGATCAAGCTTTCGATTTTAAGATCTCGACTTCTGGTCTCGACATTTGACTTCTCGAAATAATATTTCGAGTTTCACTTCTCGACATCTCAAATCTCGAGATTTACTTCTCGACATTTGAAATCTCGAGATTTCAAAACTCGACAACCTAATCTCGATATCAAATCTCGAAACTGGGCCTCCTTTATCGAAATCTTAGATCTCGATATTCAGATCTCGACATCTGATTTTCGACATTCTGCCTCTGAAAATCTTTTGATCAATTATCTCGAACGGTCAGTTTTATACAGCAATGGCCTCAGAATTCAATGCCCAAGGGAACAGCAGTACTCCTCCCAGTCTCAGAAAAGGAGAATACCAAATGTGGAGGAATCGATTCCTTAATTTCCTTGAGCACAAAGAAAACTCCGCTGCGATGCTTGTATCGTTGCTTGAAGGACCAGCTGAACTGATGATTTCAGTTGGTGGAGATCCAGAAAACAACCCACCTATTCCTCCAGAAAGGAGACGGGAAGTGGCATCTGAATATACCGAAGCTGACAAGCTCAGGCTTCGAGGTGATCTCATGGCCAAGACGTACCTCCTTCAAGCAATCCCTAACGAAGTATATGTTCTCATCGACAGCATGCAAACGACAAAGGAAATGTGGGATGAGATCGAGAAACTGCTCCAAGGCACAAGCATCAGCCTTAAAACCAAGAAGACAACAATCCTTATTGCTTATGACTCCTTCAAAGCTGGCCAGGGAGAACCATTGAACGAGACTTACAACAGACTCGTCCAACTGGTCAATGAACTAAGAAAAATCAAAGTATTCAGGTCCAACTTGGAATTGAATATAAGATTTCTATCCAGCTTACATCCTGCATGGGAAAAGACAGTGAAGGATGTTAGATCTCGCATTGACTTGGATGAAATTGACCTCTGCACTCTTTATGAACACTTGAAGCAATTTGTCAATGAGGTTGCTTGTGCCGAGGATCATCACAACTCAAATCCCCTGGCTCTAGTGATGGAAGCTCAGCCCTGAAGGACAACCACACCGCTGAAAAAGAAGAAGAAGAAGGTGGTGGTTGAATCAGATGAAGATATGAGTGATGATGACAAATCTGATCTGGAGGCTGAGCTTGCAGACCTACAGAAGAAGATGGCATTACTTGCCAAGAGATTTGCAAAGAAGAATAGCTCCTCCAATAGCTAAGAACCTCCTCCTCAAACTATAAACAGAAGAACCATGATCAAGGTTCTTCTAGGAAGGCGCCATCAGCTGAAGATGCCCCCAAATGCTACAACTGTGGAAAGGCTGGACATGTCATCAAAGACTGCCGCCTCCCAAAGAAGAAGGATGCAAACTTCTACAAGCAGAAGATGCTGTGGAATAAGCAGAAGATGCTGATGGTGCAGAAAGAAGAAGAGAATTCTGCAATGCTTGCTGAGAATGATCACTGGGCAGAAGACACTTCTGATGAGGAGGAGGAAGAAAACTATGCCTTGATGGCACGAGTGGAGGAAGAAGATGAAAGAAAGGGTGATGCTGCGATCCCCGAAAGTGAATGCTCAACAAGCTCTGTAAGTACCTCTCATATCCCTTTAAATAGTCAAAATCAGTCCTTACTTGAGAAGGACAATCTAATTAAAGAACTAAAGGAGAGATTAGACAATAATCACAGGGTACTGAAACAGAAATCTAGACCAAAAGTCTTCTCTAAGTGTTCAATTTGAAATTGCGAAAGATCAGGTCAGAAAGGTGTCCTCAGATTTTGAAAGTTTTGAACTTAAGATAGCTAAATTAACTAAGAAATTTGAGGATAGTGAACGAGAAAAA